CTCAACAGTAACTTCCCATTAATCTCATAATATAGGTAGAAGCAAAAATAAGTAGCCAGTAGCATAATTTTGCAATATAAATATAATTTGAATTTTTGTATCTTCAAAAACCTAGGAATTGTAGTTTCAATATTAAGATAGTCATTTGATGTCCCTAAACATTTATGAACCAACATTTCAAGATCAGACAAGTATTTAGACAACTCAACTAGTTCCATATCTGACTTAACCCTAAATATTTTTTCAAGAATACGATGGGCAGATTTGATTACAGGGTGTAAGGTCTCTATTGCACTTACGATTTCTGTTTCCTTGTCCATGAGGGAGTCTGAATTTTTTTTAGGAACAGTCGGTATTTTGGTATCGTAATTCACTTCAACAGTATAAATTTGAGTGCCGTATATTATTGAATCCTCGATATCCAAGGTAATTAAAAAATACCATAATCGCCTACTCAAAGTCTTCATTTTTTCATCCATCCTCCTATCGGCATAATATAGAATGTAGTCTGGATCTCTATTTAAAAACAAGGAATTTGCCATTTGATACAAGTTTCCAATACTAACTGGAGATTCCGTTCTAATGAATGTATCTTCTTCTGGTGAATAGGTTTGATAAATTTGCATCATGAGTGACGCCTGAAAAATTGCTAAGTTTGGTAGCGAAATTAGATCTAGCTCTCTAATGCATAATTTTGCTACATTTATAACTTCTAATTGTACGGGATTTTGCAAAAGATACTTTTTGTTTCTTATATCTAAAGAATCATTTTCTGAATTCAACAAGCTCTCATTTTTCCGTGCGTCATTATTAAATAATGATAAATAGCTCAATCTCATTAACATTAATAATGTTGCAATAACCGCAACATCTTGTCTATTCCTGATTTTTATAGTTTCTATTTTATTTATTTGGGAATTATTTATCTCTCCGTCAAATATTGCAAGAATATCCGAGCGAAAAGTAGTTTCATCCAATATTGGAAAGTGAGGATAGAGAACTTCAAAGAACAAATTTATAAGTAAATTGACTGTCTTTTTATTCGGCAATACAAGCTTTACTTTATCCAATAAATTTCTCTCATTCTCAGGCTGTGCTATGCTAAGACTTATTCCTCGACTCAATCCAAACTTGGAAATTGCATTCTTCACTTCTATAATATCATTCGGAGTATGATCTTTTCCTATCTTCTTAATATAACTATCGCCGTAGAAATGACGGGACTTTTCTTCCAATTTATCTAAGTCAGCAACATGAGGCGACGAAAAATGCTCAAAATTCCTCAGAGAAGGTGACCTCAAATAGTTTGATATCAATATTCCTGTAGGATCTTGTTTTATTAAGATTAGATACCTCAATGGGCCGTATGGAGAAACTGGCACATTAGAATTTGTATTGAATGTATTAAGAAAATTAATTGTCTGATTATCCAGTTGAACGGGGTTGAAACCAACAAATCCCTCAATACCTTTGGAATTCAGATAAATGGATTTTGATGAACCTTCTACTTTCTGTGTAGACGTGTCTCCATATCTAAAGGATAGCAGTAAATCTCTAGGCTTCTGGTTCTTGTCCCTTGTAGATGTAGTTAAAAGAGCCTCAAGTTCTCTAACTTTCTTGTTGAGAGTCTCTACTCGGCCATTCAAGTCCTCGCGGTGTTCTCCAACTCTATTCTCATTCAAATTATTGTTGATCCCTGTCCTGTTTTGTTCGGAAAATCCATGAGTAGCGTTGAGTTTATCATCAACTACGTGTTGTCTTTTAGGTGTAAAATACGAGCAGCTACTTTCAATGCTTAATCTTATACAGCTCGAACATGGGAGCTCTCTGTCACATTTTCTTTTCTTCTTATGGCAGTTTGCACAAACGAGTATTTGTCTGTTTCTCTTTTTATTCATTTTGAAATACTTGTTTCCCTAAAAAGAAATCAAATCAAGTAATTTTAAGAAATTTTTTGTCGCAAATTTTTCAATACTTGAAGTGGAAGTACATTTCTAAACTATGATCTATACGATAGTGTTATATTTTATCTAAAATCAATCTATAAAGTAAAGTAGCTTATACTCGTTTCTATAAAATTCGCTCACGTGTTATGGAAACGGTATGTTGCAGAATGCTTGCGAACTCTAAAGCATATTCCTTTCGACCAAAGCTTCTTTGTCAGTCGATACAGAGCTCCGGAAACTTGCAGGTGAGTCATATTTTAAGTATTCGAACTCAGTATAATATCTTCCAATGTTCTGGAAAATGAAAACTATCATGTTTAAGAACATGAGGGTTGCATCAAAACAATAAAGGAATGCTTCATGCGACATAATATATCCATCATTTCCTTGAACATATTCGATAACTCTAAATATGGATCTTATAAATATAAGAATGGAGCATACTAGAAGGGTAATTAAAACGCAATTCCAATTCTTGAATTTTGAAGGAATATTTCTAGTTATCATGGCGCATTCGTTTGGGTGCTTAAGGACTCTATAATGAAAGATCAGTTCCACAACGATAAACATGCCAAAGAAAATTATTTGAACTATCAAACCACCAATAATTACATTCTGTCCTGTTTTTGAGGATGACAGCTGACTTTGAACCATAATGCCTGCACCACCTGCCTGCATCAAGAATGATAATACATCGCCCAACACAAAAATCTTGGTTAAATACTTCAATGAAATAATTGAGTATCTCTCACATTCCATACGTTCAATTAACCTCCCAAGAGACATATAAAGGGTAGCTGCAAATAATGCTGGTGCAACCAACAAGAGAGTTGATTGTATAATGAATGGGCCAAGGACAGTGGTATCATGACTTGATAGAAGTCTTCCAATATATCCAACGTATTCAAAAATTCCTCCTAAAACAAAAGGCAACATAATCCATAACACATGTTTCTCTTTTCTAGAAAAATTCTTTGAAACCATTGTTCTCACTATCTGATAAATTTGAAAAATAGTTGCCAATCCAAAGAGCACAATAAAAATACCTGCTGCAGCTTTCGAAGGAGTGTAGTTATACGCCTTCCATGAATCTCTAATTCTTAGTTTATTCAACATTATATCTATAATTAAAGGTTTTTAAATAGCTTGTTATCAGCTTATGTTAATTCAATTTAATTCTTAATCCATTTTATATTGCAAAATTCTGATACTTATATTCTTTACGTACGATGAGATAGTGATTAAAAATATGTCGGCGATTGGTGGCGATAAGTGGATTTAAACGGGGTTAAAGGGCGTTAATTCAGACTAAATCAAATCGCGTACCAGGTACTACGTTTTGCTGCAGTTCAACAACTACAAGTCTAAAATTAGATGGTAGATGGGTAGCAGCGCCTCCTTCAGAAGCAATGCCTACAATTAACTTTGATCTCTCTTAGCACGGCTGAATTATTTTTTTATTGAATCGTACAGCTACGACTTACATACGTGACGATTAATAGAGTCCAAGTAAGTTTTGGGCTTAGTAAATGAAAAGGTATTTAAAATATAATGATGGATCAAGGCTAACACAAACAAATGTAAGACTACAATTGGACAAATTGCAAAATTTATGAGAAATTTTTCTTGGTAAATAGTTCTTGCTCAACTTGGATCATATCCACTCGAAAGAATAAAATAACAATTAATGTAGAATGAAATAACATAGAATCCTTCTGATAAGAAAAACAAAAATGAATATGTAAAGTGAAAATGAAAATTTTGTCATATGTCCATAGACTAACTCAGATTAAGCTTCAATATTATCAAAAGTGTATTTAACTCACATCAATCATAAAAGGTAATACGGAGCCATACATACCAGAAATCCATGGTGCCGATTCATAGTACGAATTGATAATATACAAGCTAATATAACTGTTGAAATAGTAATTCATTTAATTAATTAAGAAAGTAGAACGTATGGAGCAATCAGGAGAATGTTTACGATTACCAGCTCAACACTAAATAATGAGCTAAAAATACAACGCTACTTACAGATAAAGATAATTTTCATAAGTAGTAATTCCAAGACCAAAGGAATTATAGTTTAATATAATAAAGCAGATATTGAAACTATTACAGAACTTACAATTAATGTAAATTTATCAGCATGATGCAGCCATAATTCAGTATTCTTATCAATAGAAAAGTTTAAACCTTTAAGTTAGTCGCACCCAGATAACCACTCTACAGAACTGGTTAAGCATTTTGATATTTGTAGTTTAATGTTAATTCAAGTTCCGAGTCTATTTTTTTGATTTTATTACTTTTTTGCGAAATCTACAAATTTTCATTATTATGTTCAAATCCGTTTAAAAGTGATGCGGCCGTAAAATCTCAGCTGCATCAATCAATCTCTGTCTAATGCATCATTGGAGGACAAGAAATATTTTTTCTAATATTCTGTTTGAAAATAATTACTTGATTTCACACTGAACAGACATTTTGTCATATCTTTTCTATCAAAATTGCATAAAGACATGACAGAATGTCTAAATTGTTAGACAATTTAGATGAAAATGCAAAAAAAATTCCTTTTTGATATATATGTGGCTTTATTGCATCAACAGTGGCATTTGAAATTATAATTTCGAGACATAATTATCCGAAGTATGGATTAGAAAACGCAATTAAAATATGAAACACGTGAAAATGATAAATTTAAGTTTAAATCGCACGGACAATGCTTCAAAAAGTTTACACAGTTGCATGCGGAACAAAACTATGGCTGCGAATAGTCCCTGCCGATAGATCTATAGAGATGCTTAATTTAATTAACATTGAATATATTAGGAGCAAAATTTCCATTAAACTTTATTGAGTTTTTCTTATCATTAAAGCTAACGATGAGTTTGAGGTTTTTAAGAGGCTCCCAAGACAAAGAAAAGAAGCAAGTTGAAGTAGTCAACAAGGAGTACGAGTTTGATTCAGACAGTTCATCTGAGTTAGAACATATATTTCAAGATCCGGTTGTTGCTGAACACTATAAGCAGATCTACGATAATTGTAATTATGAGTGTAGGGAACACTTTGATCCTGAATTTACATGGACTGCTGAGGAAGAAAAAAAGGTGGTGTGGAAAAATGACTGGTATGTTACGTTCTGGGCATTCTTTATGTTCACAGCCTTGGATTTTGACAGAAATAATATTTCTCAGGCTTTGTCAGATAATATGCTCGATGACTTGGGAATGAGTACAAATGACTATAATGTTGGTAAAACTATAAACTTAGTGTGTTTTCTTGCAGCGGAGTTACCATCTCAATTACTTTCTAAGAAGGTTGGACCAGATATTTGGATTCCATCTCAAATAGTCTTATGGAGTATTGTTTCGATGTCACAGGCAGCTATCACAAACAAAGCAGGGTTCTATGTTACAAGAGGTCTTTTAGGTGCCCTTCAAGGTGGTTTCATTTGTGACATTTGTTTATGGATGTCTTACTTCTATACATCCAAGGAATTTCCATTCCGCTTGTCTTTGTTTTATATTGCTAATCCCTTGACGGCGGTGTGGTCAAGTTTATTAGCGTTCGCGTTATTGAAGATTAAAACCAACGCTTTGCCTGAAGGTTGGAAGTGGTTATTTCTCCTTGAAGGATTATTTACGTTGCTTATTGGCTTGGTTTCGTTTTTCAAGATGCCTGCCTCAGCTGTTCAAACCAAGACCTGGTTCCGGAAAAATGGATGGTACACCGATAGAGAAGAAAAAATTGTTGTAAATAGAGTCTTACGTGACGATCCAACCAAGGGAGATATGAATAATAGACAGCCAGTCAGCCTCAAAGAATTGATCAGAAGTTTGATGGATTTCGATTTATGGCCAGTTTATCTTATTAGACTTTTAGGTGATATTGGTGCTACACCAACTAGTAATTATTTGACTTTAACACTTAGAAAATTAGGGTTTTCAACATTCAAGACTAACGCATTGAGTATTCCATACAATATATTAACGATAATTACCATGCTTGTTTCAGGGTACATGTCGGAGGTCCTTAATAGCAGAGCTCTAGTTTTAGCAACTATTCCAATATGGATTCTTACAGCTTTGTTTCCATTAAGATACTGGCCTGGTTCTCAAGTTGATGCATGGGGGACATTTGCCATACTTACAATTGTGCTAGGAGCATGTCCTACGTGGCCACTTACCATATCCTGGTGTTCAGCTAATTCTAATTCTGTTAGAAATCGTGCAGTTTCTGCTGCTGTTGTTAATGTATTCTCTCAAACTGCTGCCATTATTGCAGCAAATATATACAGAGAAGATGATGCACCATTGTACCACAGAGGAAATGAACAGTTGATAGGATGTGCCTTTGGTGCTTTGGGTGCTTGTATTTTTGCAAGATTTTACTACATATTCAGGAATAAGCAGAAGGATAGGGCATGGAACGCATTAACAATTGAACAACAAGAAGATTATGTTAAGAATACTACTGATGATACAAACAAGCGTCTTGACTTTAAGTTCGCTTATTGATCATACTGGTTTGATTTTCCAACTTTATAGAAAAAAAAAATAGATTTTCAAGTATGTTGCGCAATATAAGTAGATAGATCACAAAATAAAAGTGAAAGATGAATTTTATGATAGAATGTAGATTGTATGAACAAATTGCTTCTAAGTTTCGAATACTATATATACAATATATTTTAAACATTGAAATTTGCGATCACGAGATTAAAGTTGATAAGCCGAACCACACATTTTTTTCCAATAATCTATGGAATATATTGTATGTATTAATAGTGAAATATACCCTTAAAATAGTAATGGATTTAATATGCCTCCGTTGTCCAAGAAGAATAGGTCAAGTGTGGCCTGTAACTTGTGCAGGGAATGCAAATTAAGGTGTAATAACAATAATGATGGTAGGCCATGCCGAAGATGTGATTCATTGAAGCTTTCATGTACTTACACGTTGAAAAAATCTCAGATATATAAGAAAAACTTAAGCAAGATTCCACATAACATTAGAAAAACTAAATCTAATTATACAAACCGAAATAATCAAAATAAGGAGGATGTGGGAGTAGTTCTCCCAGAAAAATGGATACTAATGGAAGTTGCAGAAATATTTTTCAAGAACCAATATAAAGGTATTTTTCCCTTTGTACATAAGTCCACCTTGATTTCATTCTTAAAATCGAATGAATTTGACCCGAAAACGTATATAAATGAATATAATCATAAATTTTTCAAAGCGAGTTTTTCAAACTCATTGAAATATCCTGATCCTATTCTATTACTCGCTATTCTTGGACTCTGCTCTAGACTCCATCCCGTTTTATCTGAAATATATGGCGGCTTCTCAGAGACAGATGAACCTGAGTTATTTGTACCAGATACCCTGTATTACAAGACTATGAATGGCAATATACGACATGAAAGTTCGAGCAATACTGAGAGGAGCAGCCCAAAAACGCCTTACGAAGTTGATTCAGATTTAGATAATGCCTCAAATGCTTCCAATTATTTTGGATGGCATGCGCGGAATCTTCTTAAAGATGTATTCGATAGTCCAACCATACAAAGAATTCAGAGTTTAACTCTACTAAGTAGCCATGAATGGGGGGAAGGAAACACATCAAGAAGCTATCTTTATATTGGTATTGCAGCAAGAATGGCATTGGTGCTTGGCTTAGGTGAAGAGAAGAATTTATGTGATGATGATGACAATGCAGATGAAGGAGATGATGTATCGAGAGTTATTTCGGTTGAATGCAAAAGACGGACTGTGTGGTCAGTTTATATGATGGACAGGTGTAATTCAAGTGGCAGGGAGAGATCACCAGCTATAAGAATTGAAGAAATTAGAATTAAGCTACCAAGTACTGAAGATGACTTCATTTTTGGGAAAGAGAGTAGTGCACAAACATATGCTGGACTTATATCCAACATCGAAGATAAGAATATTCAGGAATTGAGCAGAACCTCTTTCTATGGATTCACGATAGTATTATTTGAAATATGGTCGAAGATTGCAAAGTGGGTAGGTGAAATTGGTGGGAAGTATGAAACAATACCACCCTGGGATCCAAATTCTACATTTTTCAAGCTTTCCGCTGAGTTAGACTCTATTCAATCGGCTTTTCCAAGACATTTAGTATACAACTCATTTAATTTAGAAGCGCACATCTCACAAGGATCGGCACCAAACTTTGGTTATCTACACGGGCTTTCCTTCTTGTGTCGGATTTTTTTAAACAGAGAGTATTTATTTTGTGATCCAGATTCTTTTACTTTCCATTGGTGGAGAAACTCAGTGAATATCTTAATGATCTCAGTAGAGAAATTATCTACGTTGATAAATAACCTTAAACTGCGGGATCTAATGGTTATTGCTCCATTTACTGGATTTGAATTATTCTCAGCCGCTGTAACTGGTCTATATTTCTATGCCTTTCCTTCTGATATTATAATAAAGAATTATCCATTTATAATAGACGAAATAGTTCCTGTGGATTCTGAAGAAGTTAGAAATATGAAGGAAAAGTTCAAGACAATGTCATTAGATAATATACAAGGATTACGTACTTGGAGTAACGTATGGGGATTAGGTAAAAAGTGGTATAATTTAGCTAAATTTCTACAAGAAGAATTTGAAACTTTTAGGATTAACTCATCTAACTCACCTACAACGATTCAGAATGAGACTATACGACATACCATGCATGATTATGGTAATGGTGAGGTACAAGAGGTATATAATCCAAAACGTCATCGTAATATAAAGCTTGTTAATTCACTACTAAAAAATAAGGTCCCCGTTTCACCCGCTCATAATGGTGATATCCCACTTAATTCTTCGGATTCGACCCCAGATACTGACACGACTAATAAGAATGTATTCAAAGATGATGTAATGTTAAATTATATTTCTTCCCCTGCTTTGAACTTTCTACAAAGTTTTGATTCTGCAAGCATATTTCCTGGATGGAACGATAATTTGGAGATCTAATACTACTATAAAAACTCACAAGACAAACAAGTAATATATAAAGAAATGTTCTGTTCAAAACACTATAGAATCTAACCTTGAAATGATATCGAAATATGTCTGATAACCACTTACGGGTTCAAGATCTTGTTTACTACGTTCCACTTGCAAAATTTGCGCTTCTGTTTTCACAGGATCCGACGTAGATAATAGAACCTCATCCGAGTCATAAGCTTCTACTAAAACCCTTTCATGCTTTGTGTCAAATGTTTTGATGCTTTCAAATCCCTTTCTTGAAGTCTCTCCGATGAATCGTTTAGAACCATTACGCTCAACAGAATAAAATTTCCATTTCTTTGTTTCAGTGTCTCCATTCCAGCTAACGTATATATTTGTAGACCCATCCTTTGTAAATTCGCTCAATAAAGCAATTTTTTCATTTGGCTTACCTGTCCAGTTGTATTTAAAAGCACGATAGTTTTCAGCATGAACACCTAATTCTCCTGAATCAACGAAAGCATTGAATATTGGTTTTTCGTCTTTAAATTCCGTGATCGCACCTTCTGATCCCCAATTGACTAAAACGTTTCCATTTGCTAAGACTTGGGTGGATCCTTGTGACTTTGAAAGCAATTTATCAGGTGAAATTCCGTTAAAGAGCAATTTTGCATTCCAGTTCTTTGTATCAACTTCTATGATTTTTCCACTCGAATGTTCATTATATTTTACAACACGGCCATTTTTGTTCTCAGTCCCATGAGCTGAATTATCATAGAACGATATTAATTGCTTGGTACCATCTTCAGACGTTGATAAGTATCTAGCATGATGCTGGAAAGAAAATGTCAAGTTTTTATCAGCCTTGAAATCAGAACTGGTAATACCTGGTAGGCCTCCTAATTTCCAAATTACTTCTCCTGTATTTCCATCTATCTTATACAATGATGCTGCATCCCTCGCAGAAAGTAAGTAATCACCATTTTCATCCTTATCAACCGAATTAATGTGGAAATAATCCCAAGCGTCACTTGAATTATATCCTGATCCAGCTTGTCCTTGGACAATTGGCAAGACAGACTCATCAGGCGAAATATGCTCTAACGAGGACCATTCGAATAAGACTTCGCCAGTATTTATATCTATTTCCTGAAAAATAGCATCTACTATCCATTGCTGTTCTGGAGATGCTCCATATGGTGTCAAATCCTTAGGAACTGGCTGATAAATCTGTACTAATCCTGATGTTTCATTAATTATATGGAATTCATGTTTGTCAATAATCTTATGATTCCCAGCCCTAAGTTCTTTGATAGTTTCGTAATTTTGGTTTAAAAATGTTATATGACCGTGACCATGCCCATAACGTGGGTTATGCGACCCCTCAAAGGAAAATAAGACATCTTCCCCATTGACCTTACCAGCTTGGAAATTTGTTGCCCATATAGAAAAATAACTAAACCCAGACCAGACCAATTCTCCGTCGCTGCTAAATATATATGGAGCTGCTTGACGAGGTCCGTGAAAAGTATCAATATCAGCATACCCACTAAATGGAGCAAGGAATAAATAGCCTGGTGACACATCTTCATTTGGAAGTATTGTAATATTTAACTTCGGAGGAGCTAAATCAGGACGTGAGCGATATTGCCAATCGCCAAAGACTACGCTAATGAGGTAGGATGATAGCAAGAGAATTCTTAATTGAATTGATTTCATTTTAATAAAAAACAAACTTTTCATGACAACTTTGTACTTATCTGCATTCTATATATAAATCCAAATGTTTTATTTGGAGCCATAATTTCTAATTGAAACGATAAAAAGGTATATTATATTTTGAATAGTTTCGGTTCGGTTCGGTGAATATAGATAAGCAATGATATGTAGGATCAAAAACCATCTTGGTTTGAGGAAAAATTATTTCTATTCTATTTACTCTTATAAAAGATTATTTCTATATCGTCTATTAACTTCTTATATAAAGATTATTTGAAAAATAAATACTAATTAAAATATACAGATGTGGTGGTTCTCATGATTTTATTATTACTGTATTACTGTTGTGGGTTTAGTTTTTAAAATATCACTCAAAAGAAATAAAAGAAACGCAATTGCGCAACAAACCGCTGAGACAGCTTGAGCAATCTTGATTGCAGATTCATAATCTTGGAGTACAATCCATCTTATGTTGTCAGGTAAATCGAATGCAGCCTCAGTCGATCTCTTCAAGTCATCTAATATTTTATTGATTTCATCGTTACTTAATAATCCTAGTTTGTGTAAATCCTTGGAAACTCTATTGTTAGTAACTAATTGGACGATTGCAGAGACTCCGGCAACACCCCAGACACCTCCAATACTTCTCATTAAATACACCATAGATGTAGAAGTAGCTTGGTTGGAAGTTCCGTAAGCAAAAATAAATGTGAACAAACTGCTCGGATAAGCTAAACCTTGGCCAATATTAGCGGGCATCAAAAGAAGGTTCAAAAGCCATGATTTCGTATTTTTGTTAATTAATAATGCAAGGAAATTACCTAAGCTCATAATAAATGATCCAGAATACACAAGGGGTCTCAAACAATTAAACTTAGCCATCGTTACTCCTGCAATAATACCACCTATGGGTGTCGAAAGTGCAGGAAAAATAAGTC